TCCCAACACTTTCCTATATCTGTTGGCTCTTTGGATATTGATGACATCTCTCCTTTATCAAATGGTCCCTTACATAATCCCAACATCAACCCTACTGCTGCAGCCCAAAACCCTGCAAACCTAAAAATTGTGGACCAAAATTTGGTCCCTCTCACCTTTGTCCCTGCTTCTATAGCAGACCAGTCACCTGTCACATCTCCACTTGTTAATTCTGCACCAGTTCACCCTCCTACTCCACTTCAGTCACCTATAGGTTATTCTCACCCTACCTCATCTTTAGCTGAACCCAACTCAACCTATATTCCAGCTCATGCTAGTACTGAAGCCAGTACCTCTACCCCTCTTAGAGTCTCAACTCGTATTAAAAGACTTCCAAGCTATTTGCAGGACTATCACTGCAATAATATATCTAGCTGTACTAATCAAAATTCCACTTCTATTGCTTATCCTCTTTCATCTGTTTTGACTTATAATCATTGTTCTCCTGCCTATAAATTGTTTTGCTGCTCTATTTCATCTAACATTGAGCCCAAAACTTACAACCAAGCTTCCAAGTTTGACTGTTGGAAGGAGGCAATGAATGTTGAGATTGCAGCTCTAGAGGTAAATAATACATGGACTGTTGTGGATCTTCCTTGTGGCAAGACTCCAATAGGTTGTAAATGGGTGTATAAGATCAAATATCATGCTAATGGATCCATAGAAAGGTACAAAGCTCGCCTTGTGGCCAAAGGTTATACACAAATGGAAGGGGTGGATTACTTTGACACTTTTTCTCCAGTAGCTAAGATGACTACTGTGCGTGTTTTATTAGCTCTTGCTTCTGCTAAAGGGTGGTTTGTAGAACAATTGGATGTGAATAACACCTTTCTTCATGGTGACCTACATGAAGATGTTTACATGACCCTTCCCCCTGGTTATGCTATGAACTCTTCGAAGGTATGCAAACTGAACAAGTCACTATATGGCTTGAAACAAGCCAGTCGCCAATGTTACTTCAAACTCTCTACTGCCCTTGTGTCTATGGGTTACAAACCCTCTCAAGCTGACCACTCCCTCTATGTAAAGTCTCATGGTTCTTCCTTTACAGCTTTACTTGTTTATGTTGATGACATCGTCTTGGCAGGTACGTCCCTTGAGGAAATTAAGCTTGTCAAACAGTCTCTTGATCAACAGTTCAAGATCAAAGACCTTGGCCAACTCAGGTTTTTTCTTGGCTTAGAAATTGCTCGTTCCTCCTCTGGTATTTTTCTAAATCAACGGAAGTATGTTCTTGAGCTCCTTGAGGACACTGGGTTCCTTGGTGTTAAGCCTGCTCCTGTATCAGTTGACCCTCACACCAAACTGTCAGCTACTGATGGTGATCCCTATGCAGATCCATCCGACTATAAACGCTTAATTGGAAGACTTCTCTACTTGACTCATACTAGGCCTGATATCTCTTTTGCTGTCCAACATCTCAGTCAGTATGTTTCCAAGCCCTTAGTCCCTCATTATAATGTTGTTACTCGCGTTTTGCGCTACTTGAAATCCTGTCCGGCTAAAGGAATTTTCTTCTCCAGTCAGACTCCATTGCAGCTGCATGGTTTTGCAGATTCTGACTGGGCTTGTTGCCCCAATACCCGACGATCTATTACTGGCTACTGCGTATTATTTGGCACTTCATTGGTCTCTTGGAAATCTAAGAAGCAAAATACGGTTTCTCGCTCTTCCACTGAGGCAGAATATCGTGCTTTGGCATCTTTAACATGTGAGCTACAATGGCTTCAATATTTGTTCAATGATTTTCAAGTTTCTTTTTCGCAACCGGCTTCGGTTTATTGTGACAACAAGTCTTCCATTTATCTTGCTCACAATCCAACACTCCATGAGCGTAGCAAGCATATAGAACTGGATTGCCACGTTATTCGCGAAAAGTTGCAGTCCAAGTTAATTCATCTTCTTTCTGTTCCTTCCAAATCGCAACTGACTGATGTGTTTACAAAACCACTTCACTCTCCTGTTTTGTCATCCATGGTGTCCAAGTTGGGATTGTGTTCCATCCACCATCCAACTTGAGGAGGACTGTCAACATTACTATAGTTAGCATAGCTTTACTCTTTTTACTCTTTGATAATTAGTTATTTACTGTAATTAGCTTTATTACCTAGCAGTATATATAAGCTCCTAATCATCAATGTAACAGAGAAATTATTACTTTCATTATTCAATCAAAGTAAAAATGAGTTCCCTTTACTATCTTGATCCTCTTGTCAACAAGATATCTCGTTAATAAATTAAAAGAATTATTTAAATATAATTAATTTATTATATTTTATTTTTTTATCTTATAAAAAACTACTTTTTTTTAAAATGTTTTCTTAGAAGAAAATCTTTTACATTATATACAAATTCTATTGGACATTTCATATTTAAGCTTATTCTTTAGTACATACCTCAATTTAACAATTTCATGTCTAACCAACAGGTATCACCATTTTCCCTTTCAACTAGTATCTTTCTTTCTACTATTCTATCATCCACACTTCCATCATAACTGACAAATACAATTTCTTTTATTTTTTTTTGTTAAAAATAAAATGTATGAATATAACGTTTTGGTGAAAATGAAGAAAATTAATGTGATGAAAATTTGTTGTTAAAATAAAAAAGATTTGTATGAATGTTATATGATAATAATTTTTTGTTTAAAATATATTTAAAAATAATAATTTTAGAAAATAATATTATCTATTGATATTCGTAAGTATCTATAGATACCTTAAATTCAAAAAATTATATGTTTAACGAAGCGAATATCTACACAGTTATAATATATATATATATATATATATATATATATATATATATATATATATATATATATATATATATATATATATATATATATATATATATATATATATATATATATATATATATATATATATATATATATATATATATATATATATATATATATATATATATATATTCAATGAAGGCCCGTTTATTTTTACTTTTAAAAAAATGATTTTTATGGTGTTACATATTTTATGTAAAACAAAATTTATAAAGAAATTTTTCATAAAAATTTTAATTTAAAATTTAGTTTGAATAGAGTTATTAAAATATTATTTTAAATATTTCATTTTCTTATTGAAACTTTAATAAATATTAAAATTTCAAAAACTCACTTAATTTTAAAACTATTTTCAATAGATTTTAAAAAAAATTATTTTTAAAATATTTTTTTTTGAAAAAATTACGATTTTGATTATGTATTTATTTTTAATAATATATATTTATATTATAGAATGTTAAAATTAGTGTTTCAATTTAGAAAAATTAATATAAAAACTTTTAATATTTTAAAAAATAATTATAAAAATTTATTTTAAAAAATACTAAAAAAATTATTTTTTTAAAACCGAAACAAACCATCTCAAACTAAGGATGACAACGGGTTAGATCGAATACGAGTTTTATATTACCTAAATCCACATTCGAAATTACCATCCAAACATGAATTCAAACTTAAAGGTTATTCCACTGATAAAATAACACTCACGTCCACATCCGTTGAGTTCAGAATTTTCCATTCAAATTCAAATCCATAGAAAAAACACAAAAAATACAACAACGATATTAAAATTTGAAATACAAAAATTCTATCAAGATTTCTCAATGAAATTAAAGAATTAAATTACAATTTTTCATCAAGTTTGATAACATTACAATTAAAATTAAAATTTTAAATCATTACACTTATATATATATATATATTTAGACGTATCATATAATTTAATGTCTAAGCGGATTTGGTATGGGGTCCAGAGTTAAGTGAATAAGAATAAAAAAGAAAATTTTTTTTTGTAGTTTTGTCGGGTCCTGTCGGGTCATCGGATCTTGTCTCCCCGTGGAAAAGAGCAAGTCGCCGCCGCATCTTGGCCGCAGTAGTGATTAACCTTTCTTGTGCGTTTTTTTCCTCGCTTCGGCCGTGACCAAGGCAGCTTGTTGGAGCCGGAGATTTTCACAGCCGTCACCCTACCTTCTCAATATCGTCCAACCTCTTCTTACTCAAGGGTATATCTTCTTCTTCGTTTGAGCTTTAAATCAAAATCCCCAAAATTTTGATTAAAAACCCTAATTTCTAATTTCCTTCCTCAAATTTGAATTAATTTACTACTTATTCCGACTTTGATATTAAATTGAGTAAATGTAAACCTAACCCTGCAATTTTGTCTTGAAAAATGTGTAAAATGTGTTTTTTTTTTGTAAATGTTTAAAACTGACACTTGATACTGACATTTGTGATTATATTTAATTTATTATTTTTTAAATTATTACTGATTTCGACGTATCCCTGCGTCGTTGTCTGGTGTCAGTCCTTCATAGCTCGCTTGAACTTCCTACTCTTTGATAGGCAACAAAGTTGAAGTTAGCAAATTTGATAAATCTTGACCCGATTTTATAGTATTCATGTTTGAATTAGCATGTGATTTTCTAGTATTTAACTTATAATGCCTCATTCCCATCTTCAAAACTTATTTGATTTTCTAGCATTAGCATTTGAGAATCATGTAGTGCTTGAAGTTTGACAAATCGGAAACACAACACCAAATTCAGGCTGCAGTTTGCATGCCAGCACGAGCCTCTCTCTCTCTCTCTCTCTGTATCTGTCGAGTATCTACTAAATTTATATTTGATTTTTCCTTGAAAATTTGCATTTCTTTTTATTATTATATAACTTTATTGCATGATTGTATACTATCTAGTATGTAACTATCTACAAGCTCACAATAGATTCTGTAAATATGCGGTGTTGCCTACTGAGAAGAACTGATTAATCAATGAGCTCTTATATTTTGGTCGTTTCTATCATTCACAATTTTCCTTTTTCTTATTGTATGAAGGTAGTTATCAATGGCTACAGATTTAAGGAAACACACATTCGAGGCCTTGGATAGGAAATCACCTATTCTTGCATCTTCTATGTCAAGTGTTTCGTCCCTGCATTTATGTTATCCGTCATCAAATACACTCAATTAAGGTAATTCATACTAGTGCTTATGTATAATCTGTTTCTATAATTGAAGAGAGAGAATAAGCTGAAAGTGTCTTATGACAACAATTTATGCAGAAAAACTTATGAAAATAAGTTGAGAACAGTTCGTTGACATATCATAAGTTATTTTTTTCATAAGATCTTTTAAACAGTCATGCAAGTGTTTATGTCATAAGATAAACCCTATTGCATTTTCTGGCTAGTATGTAAGATTTTATTTTTTATTGTTAGTAATAGAGTTTTGCTTTAAGCTGATACATTTTCGTTTAACTTTTCTTTAAGGATTTTCAGTCTTTTTGGCCATTCCATTTTGCAAGGTATTGTGTAGCCTGTGAAACCATAAGATTCTTTCTTCTTTAGTTTCTTCATCTTGATTTTTGAAGTTCATTCATTAATTATATATTTAAGTTATAACTTCAATTTATGCGGGATAATGGAATGACTATTGATATGCAGACATTGAAGATGCTCCGGAATATGCCCAACTTTCTGTGACTTTAAATGAAAATCTGCTCACAACTAATAGGGAGGTATTCTATTTCAAGCTTTTATGATCAACTTCTCTTTTATAATGTAATTTGATAGAGTCAATAGTTATTCTTCTCTAAAGTATGAACTCAAAAGTAATTGATAGAAAGAGTAATTTTTGGATCTCAATCTTTTAACTTATTTATGACCATGGAAAGATACAATATAAAGGTTTTAGCTCCCATTCAAATCAAAATGTTATAGTTTCTTTATATTTGATTTTGAATGATGTTTTTCTTTACCATAACTAAATAAACATTGAATTTTCTTCGTCTTCTCTGTTTGCTTTGGATAGAAGCATGGTCCTCGATAGACCATTATGGCGAAAGTTGATCCATGTAGCCGATCCCACCTAGTGGGATAAGGCTTAGTTGTTGGTGCTGTTCTCTATTTCCTTTGAATTGACGTATGACTTATATTCTTCAGTTTTCTGCCGAAAGAGAAGATTCAGTTCATGGAATATTACATAAACTTTGTCAGAAGGGAGATGCAGCTGTAAAGTACATGCAAGGATCTAGAAACATGAAAATCGACAACTGGATCCTTCTTGATAATTATGTAACATCGAGCCCCCTTCATCTTCTCAATCTCGGGCTTTGCGAAATCATTCAAAACGTTCTAAAAAGCACGTGTCAATGAAACAACATAAAAAACATGGATAATTGGATCTTCCTCGAGACTTCCATAAGTAAGTTTAAGGTCTCTAAACTTCACTTCATCGCAATCAATTGATCCTTATTATTGTATATTGTAAGGAATTTTTCATTTCGTCTTTTGTTGATCCTTTTACACTTTGCTTTATTCTAGTTGCTTAATTTTATCTAAATAGTATTCTTTTAATTGCAGATTTGATATTTTCAAGCCAATGCATGTAATGTGGAAAGATTATATAGCTCTACTGCTTAAATCCACCTGGTACTATTCTAGTATACTTCCTATTGATGAATTTCCCAGTTTCTTATCTTCAACTTTTCCTGCACTTCTCTTTTCTGATGGTTTTTATGACAACAAAACTATTTAATGTTACAGGAGAAATCAATTGGCTCAATGTCTTCTTGGTGCAGATCTACATGGTGCTATTATTTTTGGTTCGAGTACACTCTATTTCTATTTTTACTCTTGGTGCAGACCTACAATTGGATTTTTTAAAAATTGCTAGAACTCGCGTAAAATGTTTTTCGGCATTTTTAAAATGCATTTATATGATGATAGTTGTTTTAGCTTAAAGTTATCTTGTTGATATTTTTTTATATCTAAAGCTCCATATGCATTGGCTTTTCAATTTAGAAAAAAGAGTTGGGGTTTTGAGATTCCTGAATAACAAATATTTAAATTTTAACCCTCTACCTCCGAAATAATGGTATGGTTGTTATCACTGACTTCACTGTGTCCATGTCTATATTTTTCCAGTTGTGGATGCTGAGCTAACCCATTTTACTGTTATTGGTGGCATCACGATTCATGAAACTTCCGAAGCTTTTGGTATAGTTACAAAAGACAACAAATTTCGAGGTAATCCTTTCACAATATAATATAAAAATAGAAACTGTTGTAGCATTACCAGAGCGGTTATTTCTCAAGTATTAGAGTATTTATCCAGGCTTATCTTAAATTTTACCAGTGATTGTTATGCAAATGTGATAGTTAACGAATTATAAGGAGCTTTGCAAACTTCTTCTGGTATCTCTTTATTCTATAATGTATTCTTTCCATACATTATAGAATTTTGAATTGTTACCTTGCAGTTGTTCCAAAGAAGGGTTCTGTATTTGTATTCGGATTAGGATTTTATCGGTACGCGACATCTTCATTCGACAGTTTCCAGTTTACACATATTCTTTTCACATTTTCATTAATAAGATATTTCGTAGTTTATACAAAATTTTGAGTATGAGCGTTGTTGCATGCTAACTATTTTACATGGTAACTAAATAAAAAAAATAAATAGAATCACTAACAAAGAAATAACAAATATAGACATAAAGGAAGAGTGTCGTAGAGTATAGGACTAGGAGTGAGTGCATTCAAGTGGAAGGGCTTGGGGAAATCTCTTTTTATCTGTGCAGTAATTGTAAATCATATAGTTCTTCTGCACCCATCTCATCCTCTGCAAACCAGTTGAGTCAAGCTCTTGGGATTGCCATGATGCTGATGTAGGAGATGATTTGCATGATGATTTTCCACTGCTCCATATACAAGCATTATTTGCATTGAAATTTCTGTATGAAGCAGTGAATGGAGCTTTCGACCAATCTGTCTTTATAAGTCCACCTCTTGTTGCCCAATCATCAGCATTCCAAAGGCTTGAGTATATCCTCATTGCTTGATTCTTTGGAAATGGAACTCCTATTCTTTCCAAATTCTTGAACTCCCTTATTGGTGTCCCGTCCACTGAAAACCTGATATTTGTTCATCAAACTTTAATAACTTACTTCACTATAACAACAATATATAATTGAATTGGATGAATGCTTACACAATGCGTTGTGGATTCCATAGAATCGAGTATGTGTGAAAATCTGCAGTTGGGTCAAACCATAGATGAAATTGTTGCTCTCTATTACCTTTTCCTTGGCTAAACACATTGGTGTGAACTATGTAAGGATCACCACTCAAGTTTCCCAAGAATTCGAAGTCTATCTCATCCCATGCACCCCCTTTTGATGATAGCTGAATTAATTCCAATCAGTAATTATCTCTTAGCATTATATCAAACAAAATATAATTTATTTTCTCAAGTATACTTACATAATAGGCGGTGACAGTGCCGGCAGAGTTTCCTGGAACAAGTTTAAGCTGCATATCGATTTTGCCAAATAAGTATTCATTTTTGGATTGAAAGCCAGAGCCTGAGGCCTTGTCAAGGGAGAGAGTAAGAAGATTGGCGTTGTTGAGTATTTTGGCACGACCATCTCCCCATGTAATTTGAAAATCTTGGTTGAAGTTAGCAGCAACACATGCTACATTAATGAAAAGGAGAGGAATAAGAAGCGTTAGGAATTTGTTGCAAGTGGTAGAAGCCATCGTATTGTGAATAAATAAAAGGTAATGTTGGATATGTTGTAAAGATTGAAGAGTTGGTGTATATATAGTAAGTGGTAAATGAGGAATGTGAGATTTGAAGCAAGTTGCTAAGAGGGGAAAAGGATAGGAAGGTCAGTAGCAAGCTGTAGGTAGTTGTATTGAATTGAATGGTGTAAAGAAATTTAGCTGTCAAAAGCTCAAATGAGAGCTCAACCAGCAAACTTTGTCGTATATAATAAATAGATAAAGGTAATAGTGGTAGAGAGGGTATGTTGCAATTGGAGGAGTACACGGTTTAATATTGGATTTTGGGAAGAAGTTGCATCACTACGCGGTCACTTTCATCATGTAAATAAAGTCAAAAGTTATGAATCATATTTTTTTACTTACTGGATAAGTTTCCTGTCAACGTCGCCACAATTGACCATATCCCCTTGTTAAGAGGCACCTAGCACCAACCAGCCAGCTAGATCTAATTATGTTTCCTTTTTCATTTCTTAGATTTCCGCATATCCAAATGCTGCTTCTCGATGGATACAAAATTTACTCATACAATAGCTACTGAAACGGATTGTGATCCACAGTAAAAAAAATTGTGGTTTTATTTTTAAAAATATTAAAAAAAATACTTGTAGAGAAGGGTGCGAGGAATCCTTTTCCTATCAAAATTGGGGTTGACACGTAAATGGAGATGATGAAGACACTCGGTTAGAATAAATCCTAAGCCCCGTTTCCAAAAAAAAGAATTCAACTAAGTGCTTGTATGATTGATTTATGTAATAAGCTTTGAAGTATAAAAGAGTGAAAGTGTAAAATTTTGAAAAGTCACATTTGAATGAACAATATGGAATAAAAGCATAAGGCCGTTTCCGTAAAGTTATATGGCTAATTATACTCACTAAAGTAAATTTTATGATTTAATTTTTTTAAGAAAATATTTCTAAAAATATTTTAAAGCCAATCGATTGGTACTTATATCCAATCGACCAGGTTAGTATAAAAATGCACCATAAACATTTAAGACAATGTCACTACTACGAAAAAGACCTTTAACAATGGTTGAAAATGATATATAATCACGTAGGTTCAAATGTTGTTATGTAGCGTGTGATTGTATGTGTTACTTTAAATCACAGTCCAGTGATTGTAGTAAGTAAACTAGAAAGCGCGCGTCCTATAACAAAAGTTGTGACAAATAACCGTTGTGATATTATTTATGAATAAATCTCATTTGTATCAATACCAGAATCAACAATACACCATTTGTGAATTGATATCAAAACTTGTATTACATCAAACTATACGTAACTAGGAATATCAAATAAGGGAAAAAGATATATGAAAAGACAAGTAGATACAATCATTCAACAACTCGAGGAATTAAAGAACAAATAATGAACAAATTTGACATGCATGAAATCTTCTGTCTTTTAGACTTTCAATAATCAGGGAAGAGGAAGAATCAGAAGAAATAATATAAAATCGGAATTACTCTTTGAATCAAAATACAAAAAGAATTTCACCCAAAGAAACCAGAGAAGAAGAAGAACCAAAATGAGTACTTTTGCTGAAGCTTCTAACAATACTGAAGATGTTCTGCCTCCTTAGAATCAAGAACTTTTGAGACCCAAAAGAGCTCTCAGGCAAAGGAGAGCAAGAAGAAGAAGAATGGTGAGAAAGCAGGTGATTTATTTCGATTCCGATGATGATGATGAATCAGATTATACTTGGTCAAATTTTTTATGGGCCAGAGAATTTAGATATGATTATTAAGGCATTCTGTAATGAAAGTTTATGTAATGAAATTTAATCTTACTGCTTAACTCTAGGACTTTCTCACTCTCTTAAGGTTATCGACTAAAACAATCGACTTAAACTATTAACTCAAACTATTAGCTTAAACTATCAGCTACAAAATTTATCAACTAATATACACACATCTTCGAAAGGCTGAAATAACAACCATATAACTACTTGAACGATACTTGTAATTGAAAATAATGGTTCCCTTCTTTGGCAGCTAGCAACTCAAGAGGTCGTGGTGAGTTGGCCACACATCTACCCCAAACAATGTTTGCAAAATTCCATCTTAAAATATCAGCTACAAAATCTAATTTTTTTTGCAATAATCATGTTTTGAAAAAAAAGACACAAATAACCATATTTCGAGGAAAATTACGCAAATAACTATGTTTCAGAAAACATGTGAATGGTGGCGCCAAGTCAATTGGCGCATGCACTTACCATTTGGCCTTAGGCGCCATCTCACTTGGCGCATATACTCCCTGTAATCCTTGTGTGATACGGTAGGAGAACTGACTTTGGTATTTTACGTTTGATCGCAAATATTGCGGATAGCTAGAGTCGCCACCGACTTTTATTTTATCCAATAAAGGAAAGGGTGGAAAGAATATGTAAGACTTTTTGAGAATTTTCTTGAGTTCGGGGGGTAGGTTATGAAAAGGGAAGGTGTTAGCACCCTTTTTATCCGTAGTTATCTACGAGCTCTTAATTGCGTGATCACTTTGAAATGCTTTAGTGTTTGTGTAAGTTTGAAAATATTTTGAAAATGTCTAAGTTTGCCAAACTTTGCAATGATTCTCGCATCGTTGAGAATGTATACAAAGTGTTGGTTTTGAAAATATTTGTTTGAAAAGGAATGTTTGAAAGATGTTTTCAAGGTGCCAATATAAGACAATTTTGTAATGATTCTCGTATTGTTGAGAATGTATACAAAATGTTTGTTTTGAAAAGTGTTTTGAAAGTGTGAAGTGTGAAATGATTTTTTTGTGAGCAAGCAATTATGAGCAATCTACCTACTCAAAAAGTCTTTGTTATTTTCTTCCTCCTTTAGATAATGTTATTTAACCATTGATTGGTAGAGATCCTTATCATTGGATGTCATGGACGAGCGTGTGTTATCGTACAGTCATAGAAGGCAACTTGTAAGATGCTTTAGCAATTATCGTAAGAGACTAAGATCATTTACCTAAGGCAACATTGAAGGGTCATCGATGGACTATGATCTTTTAATCAAGGGTCTTTGCTAAAACATCCCACGTTCGAGGGACATGACTGTTTATATACGAGGCAACAAGGGTGGGTTATCCTAGAGGTGCATGTGTGCAAGGTGTTTGATTTCAAATATTTTATTTTTGAATTAAGGTTTTGCTATGGTTTAGTTTTAATCTTGTCATGCAAACCCTAATTACTAGCAATAATAAGGAAAGCGATAAATTGCGGAATTTAAATGTCCTATTCTATTACAATGCTTTGGGAAGGGGGGGGGGTACAAGTTTGTAAATGAGGGAAAGAAAGCAAAAAAGCCCTAATTACTATTACAAACCATTGAATATGAATTACAATAATAATACAAAAATGTAAAGATGAAGAGGCAAAAAGAAATTGTTTTAAAGATTTTTTGATGGAGAAAAAGTTTAATGTTTTAACCTAATTAGACTAATTAATTTTATTTACAAAAGAAGTTAATTAATTATTTAATCAAAACCAAAAATCTAAGTTAATTAAAATTAATAAAAACCTAAGTCTTTTAATTTGTTTAGAAAACAATTTCAAGGTTAATTTAGAAAAGAAAATATTTTATGATGTAAAAGAACTAATAAAATCTAATTTAGTCAAAAAAGAAATAAAGTATTTAAATTAAATAAATTTAATTTAAGAAAATATAATTTTTTGTATTTTTAGTTTAAATGAAATAAATAAAGAAACAAAAATAAGAAAATATAAAGAATATGAAAATATTGGGCTTGGGGGTTTAAAAAAGAAGACGGGAGTTAAAAGTAGTAAAAGGACTTAGGCACAAAATGTATTTTTGTCTTTAAATCAAAAAACAAAAACAAAAAAAAAGGTGTATGGCCCTGCGTGTATAAGGTAAAAAAAGGGGTGTATGGAAGAAGCCTAGTCAATGGTCTAGAAGCAAAAGTCCAACGCCTGAGGATCCAATGTGATTGATTTGAGAGGGTGCGTCATAGTCTTGCTTTGTAGAGTGTTGGATTTGTTGGCTTGGTTGATCTGATGGTGGTGGAGAAAGGCGCATGGTATGCGCACTAGCTTGGCCTACACATGATCTAATACAAAGAAATATGAAATGAACAAAAGGGTACCGCTGGAGCTCGAACCTAGGTCCCTATAGGGTAATGTCTTACACGCGCTTCTCCTGCCACTGGGGTGGCTGTTTCACCCGTGAGTAATACAACTTGCAATAAATTTAAAATAAACCTCTTCCTAATGGAACTCCATCCCTAACCTCGCGCCAGTATCTCCAACACCATTTTTGAATTTTTCAACCTCATTTCTCAACCAAATCAGAAAATGTAAACATGAAACTTGCTCCATTTTTCAATACGATTTCAAAAATATAAATTTCATGAGCTATAAATCAAAGATGAATGAAAATTTTACTGGTACCAAATAAAAACCTAATTTTTTTAGAATGTTCATCTTCAAAATTCGCACCACTCAAGCAACATAAATGAAAACTAAGGGCATGGTTAGCTTCAGGGCTATGATGTCTACATTTTTTATTATTTGCTATATCCCCCGCCGCGAGGGTGGTGAACCAGGTAAAAGCATTTTTCGTCAGCGAAGAAGGGAAGTATTTAACCCTTCGATTTTCATTATTTGCTATATCCCCCGCCTCTGTAAGGTATCTGGCAATATGTTCTATGGTAGATTCGCTAGTGTCGCCAGAAAACTTGGTGAATTTGGATACTTTCCATTCCCTCGGAAATTCAGTTTGTTGAATATATTCTGACAAAGAGAATGTATAATTTGGTCTACACATGCCTAGGTTTACCCCATTTTGCACCATAATCCTTTCGACTAAGGCTGCTAGGTTATTGTTTCCCACCATATCATTTTGTCGACAACCCTGAAGGATTTCATCAGCGTCTTGGTTTCGATTCACCAAAACTACCCTTCTCCCTGGTTCATCTCTGGGGATAGCCTGTTGGGGTCTGGGTGGTCCCTCCCATCGAATT